AATTTTAATTCTGGTCAATCGGCATTACAACAATCAACGTATACATTACGTTTATTAAATATACGTTTAATAAAAGATTTTTTTCTTTATTATTTATATGGTTTTGAATATAAATCTTTTTCATATTTTTTAACAATACAACAATCAGATATGTATCATAAACATAAATTTCAAACAAAAATTCTACGATTTTGTCAAACATTAAAACAACCAATAATACAAAGCTATATTGAAATACCTTTAACATGTGGAAAAAATTATCATTATTTAATAACAGCAAAATATTCATATGAAAAAAATATTTTATATGGTTTATTTCGAAATACAACATTAGCAAATTTAACAACTACATCACATGCTATTTGTGCTTATACAATTGATTATATTCAAGAAGTTTTCTTTCAAACAATAAAACGTTGTCTTGTTGATGGAAAAGGTTATCGTGGTTTAGGTTTTCTTAGTCCAGATACACATTGTGTATCGAGTAAAGTATGTTGCAATAAATTTATTTTCTTTCTCGTAGAGAAGAGTCCAGTAAACATAAACTGTTTGTGTGTCCGCAGGGTTAAAAAAACATCGAAGATCGATTTTCAGGAAAAGACATTCCTATAGGTATTTCGATGAGAGTAGTTCGAATTTGAGGTCTGTTGAGTGACCATGGTGAGGGGGGGTGCGTGAAAGGTCTAAAAAACATCGAAGACTGATTTTTCAGAAAAGACATTTGTAGAGGTATTTCAGCGTAGAGACTTCAAAATGTTCCCGTGCTTGTAGTACAGAGTGTAGCGATCATAAACTGTTGACTTTCTTGCGTATAAGATAACTAATACTTCACTTATTCGTTAAAGGCTAGTTCTCGAACGAGCGTTCCTTGTTTGTTAAATAGGAAATATAATTTTTCATTTTAGAATTTAAATGAAATTAATCGTGATTATTGTCCAGATGAGAATGATAGTTTTTTTCAATATCCAATTGGTGGACATCGACCTGTTGAACAAATACAACCGATTATTGAATTATCTGAAAAAGTTAATTTTACATCGATTGAAATAGGTTCAAATGAAAATGATATAATTATTTTCGCAGGAGATGATAATGGAACTGTATATACGGTAAATTTTATTTTATATTAATAAAAATTTATTTAAATTAATTTAGTTTCAAACTTCAAATACAAATGAAATTTATAAACAATATTATCAATCAAAAGTTATTATTGACTTACAATTGATTCATCAAAAACCGGCATTAAAAAATGCTAAATTAATCGTGATGACTAACGATCAGGTAGTTAATATTTTAAGAATAATTATCATTGACCTTAATCTTTTATTTATTTAGATAATTAAACAAAATCTAAGTACATGTGATCAGTATACAACGTGTAATGAATGTTCAATTCTTACACATTGTCATTGGTGTTCAAAAGAGAATAGATGTGCAGCTTCATTTGAATGTATTGATGAAAAAAGAAAAATGAATCAATTTGATATTTGTACACGTATTGAACAAGTTATTCCACAAGAAATAGCATTAGATATATTATATACTGAAGTAAAAATTTTTAAATAATAATATTTCTCTTAAGTTTAGATTTTATGTTTTAGTTAAAAATTGTTTTCAATGTTCCATTACGAAATAATATCAATGAATATATGTGTCAATTCAATGTAATTGATAGAGAAGAATTATATTATACAAATGCAATTCTTAATTATGATACAATGAAATGTTTACCACCAATATTAAAGAATATGAATTACGGTAGATATAATATTATTTTATCAATCTATCAAAAAAATACAAATTTAACATTTGGATATTATAAATTAGTATTTTTAAATTGTTCAAATTTTCTTTCATGTTCATCCTGTACAACAAATTCAAATTTATGTTTATGGAATCGTGAAACAGTAAAATGTATTTCTCAACAAGAACAAAATAATATATTATCAAATCATTCACATTTGATAATACATCCTAATCAATGTCCATCTATGTATTTAGAAGAATCATTAAATCGTATTGCTTATCATGTTGATAAAATATTTCATATTCATATTGAACAATGTAATCAATCGATTACTATTCATTCTTGTCAATTACATGATTATCGAAAACGATTTTCATTAATTGATTCAAATCCATTATTAATTCAATCGTTTAATGAAAAAAATTTATGTTTATTAAAATGTTCATTTCAATGGAAAAATTATAATAATTCTCATCATATATCATTTGTTCGACCATTAAAATTAAATTTATCTATTGAATTTTCTGATAATAAAACATTTATTATGCCACATACACATATATCTTTATATCGTTGTGAACGTATGGCATTAAATTGTACATCATGTTTACAACTTGATTCATCATTTGGTTGTATTTGGTGTAATAATAAATGTATGTTAAAAAATCAATCATTAAAATGTGTAAATAAACGAGAATGTTTATTACCAATTATTCAATCGGTTGAACCAATGATATTACCATTGAATGGTGGAACAATAGTTACTATTAAAGGAGAACATTTTGATTTATCGGATTTATCAATTGCTATAGCTGATATACTTTGTCAAGTAATTGAAGAAGAAAGTTCTCATAATCAGTAAGTAAAACGAGATTAATTGTACTATGTTGAGCTAACTAAAATATTATTTATTCTATTTAGAATTGTATGTCGATCAGGTGATGCTGGATCAACATTCCATACGGGTCTTGTTCATTTAAAATTTGGTTTATATGGCCCAGATATATATTCTAATCAGATAATATCTTATATACATCCAAAAATAAATTCTATTGAACCACTTGTTGGTATACAAAGTGGTGGTACACATATAACAATACATGGTGAAAATTTTACAATAGGAAATAGTCATATAACAGTATTAATTGGTAATCAATCATGTCAATTATTATCAATTTCTCAAATAAAAATCGAATGTCAAACACGATCATTTTCTTATTCGATGATTAATGAAAATGAACGAATAAAAATTATTTTCGATCGTCAAACAAAATTAGTTTATGAAGAATTTTTTACTATTGTATCAAATCCAATTTTATATTCATTTGATCAATTTTTTCAATATAAAAGTTTCAAAAGTGGTGGTCATCGAATTATAATTCATGGAGAAAATTTTAATAGAGTACAAAATATACAAATGGAATTTCAACATCATATATTTGTTTCACCTTTATATCATAATAATACACATATAATATTTGTAACACCATCAATTCATGAACTTAATTTAAATCAACAACAAACTATTGAAATAACAATTCATTTAGATCATTTTAATAAAACTTCATCATTAATTTATACGAATGATCCATTTATTTTTGAACTTGAACCATTATTACAACCATATACAAATCAATTAATTATTCAAGGTATAAATTTAACTACTATTGGACATACAAAAAATGATATTATTGTTTATATTGGTTGTGATTTATGTACAATTGTTCATCTTCAAAATGATAAACTTATTTGTCAACCACCATTCTATCGTCCGGAAAAATATTTGAAAACAAAACTTTGTTATAATTCAGAACATCCAACAATTACGGTTTCAATCGATAATATACATACACATGTTGGATTTATGATCTATCCAAAAAAACTTATTCTTCTCGGTAAAGTTTTAATAATCATAATAGACAAAAATAG